AAATTGCCAATAGGGAATAGGGACGCAGACCACTCTGGCTTCTTCCATGCTAACAGGGATGCAGGGTGAGACAATTGGAGTACCCCTTCAGCAGGTCTATCTAAAATACTCTCAAATTGCATAACTCATATCTCTAAGTGGAAGGAAAGTCCTTGAATAGTGAATAGGAGATGTGAAGGAGAAGCAAAGGCAAGAGTAATTAGCATTACAAGTTCTAGAGAAGGAACTAGAAAAAAGAACAGAGCAATTTTCAAAGGTTCATATGACAGTCCATTGGAATTTCTTGACAAGGGCTTCCAAAAGCATCCCTCTATTGGGTTTGTCCCCATTTTTCTTCTGTCTTTCAAGGCTGGACTCTAGAGTGATGGATTCAGGATTTGCTTTCAGGTATTTTGATAGCTGTTGGAGTGCTTAGAATCAATGTCAGTTCCCTCTCAAAAGCTTCGAAGTAACTGAGGGGTTGCTGATGTATATGTATGACCTGAGGGTATGCACACTGGAAAGCCTTTTCCCAGCATGGGTCATGTCTTCTCTTCCTAGCCTTCTCCAGACTGTACACTTTAGCCCTCCCCAAATCCAGGAGATCACACGTGATTAGGGCCAAATTACACACAGTTGGCTGGGAAGAGTGGCTGGATTCTCTGGTGAGGGTCCAGTGACCCTGCTTGGTCCTCCTTTAATGAATGACCACAACCGTCAACAAGCCCAATTGTGACAATTTTAGCGGTCAAGCTCAGCTGAATTCGTGATGATGGTAGTTGTTTCATGCAGAAGGGACTGCTGTATACAATCATCTTATTAAAAGCACCACCAGGTGGAGTCAGGATCTGGGGGCTCTCAGGCAGTCGCTTCCATTCTCAGGACCTCTGCCAGAGGGAGGCCAGAGGGAGGCCAAAACTCAGCACTCACTGGTAGTTTGCTGAGATCAGCCGATTTTCCCACTTCCATGCTGGGTTTTTCATTGACCACTTTTTGAGCTGTTTCTTAGCCATCTTTATTTCTTCCTTTGAGAACTCTCTGTTTAGATCTTTAGCCTATGTTTTAATTGGATCATTTGGTTTCTCGATTCTTTGTTTGAGTTCTTTATATATTCTGGATGTTAAACCTCTGTCAGATGTGTCACTGATGAAGATTTTTTTTCCCATTCTGTGGGTTTTCTCTTCACTTTTTTGATTGTTTCTTTTGCTGTACAGAAGCTTTTTAGTTTAATGAGGTCCCACTTGTTGATTGCTGACCTTAATTCCTGAGCAACTTCTGTCCGATTTAGAAAATCCTTTCCTACACCTATATCCTGTAAGTTACTGCCAATATTTTCTTCTAATAGTTTCAGGGTTTCCAGTTTCACATTGAAGTCTTTGATCCATTTGGAGTTGACTTTTATGCAAGGTGAAAGATAAGGATCTAGTTTCATTCTTCTAAGGGGGAGATCCAGTTTTGCCAGCACCATTTGTGGAAGATGCTGTCTTTCTTCCATTGTGTGTTCTTGGCACCTTTGTCAAATACCAGGTGGCTGAAATTGCATGTACTCAGGTTTGGATCTTCAATGATGTTCCATTGATCTATGTGTCTTTTTTGGCCAGTATCATGCTGTTTTTATGACTACGGCTCTGTAGTATACTTTGAGATCTCGTATAGTAATCCACCCAGCATTGCTCTTTGTCCTCCGGGTTGCTTTGGCTATCCAGGATCTTTTGTGCCTCCATATGAATTTAAGGATGCATTTTTCTAATTCTGCATTTTTCTAATTCATGAGGATTTTGATTGGAATTGCATTGAATCTATATATTGCTTTTGGTAGGATGGTCATTTTAAAAATAGTAATTCTTCCAATCCATGAAC